GATTTTTCCAGTTTCCCAATAATTAAATTGCACTTAATAACTTACTAAAACAAACGACTGCTGTTGTTCCAGTTCACTTATGTCTTGCTTATTCTAGGTAACAAAGTAGTTTATTATTTATCATTTCTGTACATTCTATTGCACATTGATTTAAGTAATTCTATAAAAATACTAACTTCCTACTGAGGAAATACTTTTGTTTCATAGGCATCCTGCTTACACATATTTTGTTTCAAACAATATATATGCTATCACATACATGAATGGGAAGCTCTGCAGAACAAATATTAGGTATGTCAACATAACAAATTTAAAATGTGCTTTAGTACTGTTATAGTAACTGGTACTTTACTCCAGTTACGTTTTCTTCTAACAGCTGCATAAGCCCAATGACTTCTTATGAATCTTGTGTTGACACTTCAGAAATTTTGACTTTCTGCACCATTCTCTAATGGTTATGTGCTCAAAGATTCGTACTTTAAGGAAATGTCAAGTGAAATATATCAAGCGGTAAATATTTCCATAAATTTTCCTATAAAAATGTATTTCTTCCCCTTCATTATCTTTCTCATCTCACATAGCTATGAAAATGATCTTAAAATTATTTTTTCTAATCTAGCTCTTCAGTAGTATAATTCAGCAGATCAAGGATTTCAATGGAATTTGACTTAGCAGTGATTGCTCAAATTGTAGAAGCCTCTCTTCTTCCTATATCTTTACATAAAGGAAGCTCTAATTACATTATTTAACCATGCACTAAAAATAGCAATGCATGATAACAGATTTATATCCAAATTACTCCAACTAGCAGCTGGAAAATTTTCCAAGGTGAAATGTTTGTGGAACATCAGGAAAACAGATTCCATTCAATTTTTATGTGAAGATTTAATTGTTTCACATAAAGCAAGGCATTTAATTTTTTTTTTTTTTTTTAAATACTCAGTTTCATTTTCAAGAATAACTGATTTAAAGGTATAATAACAGCTAGTTCCATACAAACACCACAAGCACACAATCTAGTATGTAGTCTATTGTAATTAAGACCAGAAGATTCAATACCTATTGCTACTGGCCAGGTATCATAGCAACCTTATGTCATTGAATACTACTGGAAAACTGTTCAGCACCAGCAAGACTATGCTTCAGGAAAATCTACAATGGCACTACAGATTGTCAACATCTGTGGGGGTTGTTACAGAATGAACAAAAAAGAAATCCTTTAAAAAACCAACAAAGCAGCAATAACAACAAAGAAAAACAACCGAAAAATGATAGGGATATGGTAGTATCATTAAAAGTAATATCAAGAAGGAAAGACTCTCTTTGTCATTAGTTATATAACTTATGCATCGACATCCTAATATCTGTCCACATAAGCTGGTGTTAAAATAACACTGTTACCACATTGCATGCATAAATCCTCAAAATATTTTCTCTCTCTCTTTTTTTTTTTTGACTCATTATTTATCACTAATGTTAATTTGAAATCACAACAGAATCTTAAAATAATATTTAAACTCCCAAAAATGAATTCTAGATAGTCTTCTATAAATCTGCAAAAAAAGGAAAAACCGGTTACTATGAACAAGAACCCAATATTGATTTTTCTGCGGTGCAGTAAAGCATCTCCATTCTATTTGGCTGCTGTCAAAGCCACTCTTTAACAGCTGGAGTCAAATTGCACTATTTACAGCAAGAACCCTTGTCAAGTGGACCATAAGTAGTCTAACAATACGCTATTCAAATGGCACTTTGCCGCACAAATTGCTGACTTGATGAATACCCTATGTCAATGACTAAGGCCAATATAGAAGTTTCATTTTTATGAGAGATCTTTACATTCACATACTAAGTACAGCTTTCTTGAAGAGCTATTAAACTATATATTTGGGGTCTTCTGACATTGAAAATAATTAAAATCTGTTTAAATATACCTAGGGTATTTGACAATACTAATATGGATCTTGCCTTAACTGCATTTGTCACACTCATCTGTTATTGGTACTCCCACTGGCACGTGCACCACAATAAGAGAATTAAAATGGTCAAAACACCATGAAATCAAAGCATTCTGCCTTTGTATCTGTGATTCACATGATGACAAATGTTTTGAAATAAAGCCTTTGAAGCTGGTCTGCTATGTGAGGATATTTTTCTTAGGATAGAAGAAAGAGACCATTGTCTTGCAGATGGGTTTTTTGTCTCAAATATATTATTAATGATAAAAAAATGCAATAAATATTAATCTTGCCTATGAAGTTCATGTGGATCACTGTACAAAGTAAATATTTCTTACAAACATAATGCTGACCTGACAGAATAGATGGAATCCTAACATTTTCTGTTACATAAGTCTTTGAAAATGAATTTTTATGCAGACTGAAGTGGAATTTGTTTGTTTTTGGTAAAATTGGAGTGTTATTATCAATTTAGCATGTTAACTTCCTATTATACAATTTGTCAGAGAAGCAAATGGATAATGAAATATTGATTGTATACATGCATATTAAAGCATCTCAGATTTTCATGATAGTTTAATCTGAGAGGACATTGTATACAATATGGCATGAAGGCACTGAACTCACTTATATCCATGGAACTTCCACTAGCTTCATGAAATCAGATTTCAAGGATATATTTAAAGATGTTAAAATGCTGTGGTTCAAAAAAGTCAATACAAACACTTGGAAAAAAACTGAAAAAAGTTTCCAGATCAAGAACTATAAAAATTGTATTTTTCTTAAGAAGCCCTTGATTTGGACTTCATAACAAAACAGCTTCAACTATAAGCAGCCACATGGTCCCTTTGTGCAGTCCATACCAGGTTTCTAGAATAACATTATGCAGACTTCCATTGTTCACTTAATTGTTATGCTCAAGTTGGCTACATCCTATACATTTGACCACCAGCATCTCCCACACTAATCTACAGAATCTGGTCTAACAGGGTTGGAGGTGAGATGAAATGCTGGATGCAAATAGTGGCAGAGTTTGATGAATGCTGTTTCTCCAAGTACAGACATTTCTTTGTTAGGGAATTAGACTAACATGACTGTAAGGACAAAAAAGAGAAGGTGAAAGGAAAAAAAAGTATGTTGTCAATCATAGGGAAGTTTAAGAGCCATCAATAATATTTTCTAAGGGGTTTTCATTAGGGCAAGATAACTAATGAACAAAGTTGAAAGATGAAAATAGAATATTTCATTGCAAATTCAGAGCAGTCAAGACACATGCCTGATCAAGAAGAGTGCTATAAATTATTACAACTCTGTCACCTCTTGTGACATTACTTCAAATTTAAAATCATGGTAATCCACAAAGTACATTAAACTCCTCACTTCACAATTTGCCAAAAACTACTTTCCCATATTCCATGAACAGCACATTCTTTTTCTTAAACACTTTGTTAAACTCATGCAATTTGAAAATTGAAATATAATATGTACAGCCAAAACACTGCTCCAAAGTCATCTATTATAACTTTGTTATTTCTCTTTGAAAACGCTAGAAGAAATTATTCCTTTAACTAAAGTAACAGTGAGATCAGATTCTGTGTCAATGGCCAACTAGCACACCATCTGCCCCACAACATGCTCAGCAGGATTATGCTTTAATAAGACTTTTCAGAAAATGGGATCAAAAAGAACTTTAGAAATCAGACTAAGATTAGTAAAAGGTCAAAGAGAAATATAAAGAGTTGAACAATTATAAACTCAAAGGCATATTTAAATTGTAAGGACAATTAGGAAAAAGACCAGAAGAGAAAGTTTACAATAAGGACTTGGATTAAGCCATCCCTTATCAAACTGATTTTTGGAAAATCTAGTATTTTGTTTAACACTATTTAAAGAAGGAAAAAGACAGAAACCATTCAGAAAGCTGTTTCCACATATGAGTCGAAGTAAAGCATTTCTCATCTTCCCATGTTTATGAGAAGGTAGTTTTGATCTACATTCAATGGCTTCATCAATTTTACTGCAGGGAAAAGCCATCCTGAAAAACTAGTAACTAAGAAGGACTACGTTTGAACAAGCAAAGTTGAAGTCCCATTCTTAAGATTCTTTTGTATCAAGAGTTCAGTTAAATATACTTAATTCCTGGTATACAAACTAAGTGTCAGAAACGGTACCAACATTCGTCTTTCAGTCTGAATAAGGGTTATACATATTGTATTTGAGATTGCAACAAAACCAAGGTTGTATTAATATCTGGTTTTACATTGAGCAAACACAGTCTTTTAAAATATCTACAATAACAATTAAAAATATACATATTTAAGCAATAAATAAAAAATTACTATTGCACTTTCAACTTTATTTCTCATTTTCTAGTATCTCTTATTAGTTTTCTCGGATTTAATGGTACATTAGTAGTAGCTACAGTAAGGTGTTTCCATCTATTGCTTAAAAACAACAACAAAACACAATAGTGTAACTTTTCTATCTGTAGCAATTATTTAGTTTAATGATATCAGTGAAAAATTGTGAGAGAAATATAGGTATTTTTCCTGGCCAGATCACTCCTGAAGATTGATATATACATTTGTGGCCCAATATCTCACACAATGAACTTTTTTTTTTTTAAGCAATAAAGTGTCAAGTTAATTGCACCAACATCAATGAAAGGCACTTTCACTCTGTTCTCCATAGTTAACAAAACAAACACCAAGTAAAAGCTACCATTGGATAACAAAAGAAATCGGCCTCTGTAGAAGAGCAGAAAAGACATATGAGACTTTTCCCAAGACTCATCCACCTGAACTGGCACATGCAATAGCTCTGATGACTCATAGATGCAGTCTTAATTTAGGTTTGTAAGGAGATATGCTCAAACTGTGCTCAGCAATTTGTTCTACGTAATAGTACTGAACAAATAGGAGCAAGGCTTTACAAACTTAAAATCAAGGCTACACAACACAAATGCAGGACTACACAGGGAAGGTGAAAAGTTAAGGAACTTGGATCACAATTATTTGCTCACACATTAATTTTCATTCTTACCTTATCTGAAGATTTTTCTGTCTGAGTAAGATTGTAGATCATACCACGCTTATAAGAGCTGGAGGATTTGTATTGAACATTTTTATTTCTTCTAGACTCCTGAGATTCAGGATGTAGAGAATCCGCCACTAAGTATTCTGACTCTTCAATGGAAGAAAGGATTGCTTTTGCTACTTCACCTGTTTCATGCCGTTCCAGAGTGCCTAGAGAAACACAAGTTGTGATTTTTTAAGAACTACAGTCTTTCACAAGGCAATTTATATTAGTATATTTCACAGGAGTATGCAAGTCATGAAACTACACTTACAGATTAGCCAACTAAATCTTTACTCTCTAGATCTTAGAAAAGTATGTTCTGTTTCACTGTTTAAAAAAAACACTAAAAACTTAACTTCTTTAGATGTTACTGCAGCAAATATCTTAAACTTCAGGAAACTTAGGATATTCTGTATATTGTAAGAAGCTAGATGCACTTTTCAAAAGGAGAAAAGGAATTCTAGAATACGACTTGCTCAAAACTGTCATTTGTCTTCTTCCCTCAAGCCTTTGCTATGTACATAATTAACAGTGCAAACAGTAATACTTATGTAATATTTCAGTGCTGTCCTCTAGTGTTCTAAATTACAAACAGCAAGGGAAAGCTCAACTTTTTCCCTCTGAAGCATTTTAAACAGTATAAACACAAATACAGCACAACTAGATTAAAAGCCCAGAATACAAATACAGGTTTTAAAGGATTGTTTCCTCACTTGTGTGGATATAAAGAATCTGATTCCTTTAAGCATCATATCCATATTATAAATAGATTTAAGTGCTATTTCTCTAATTAGAAGAATTTGTCTCTGTTCTTCTCCAGATATTTCCTCAGTTTTACTTTTCATTCTTACCATACTTTCCCTATTCCTCCCAGTGAGTGAATCAGAAAAAAGGTAGCATATGCTGAATGACAGCTCCTTATTTTAGGCTTCTTTTATTGCAGCCAATGAAAAAGAAAAAATCATAGGGCCTAAAACCAATTAACTTCTGACAGGTGATTTAATTCTCTTTACTTCCTTCTTGCTGTATTTTTCCACACTTCATATGATTTCCTAGGTTAGTGCAAGGGAATTAAATGCTATCAAGCCAGCCATGGGGCAGGAGGCTGACATTACTAAACAGAGCAAGATTGTTTAATTTTGTTTGAAGACAGCAGAACATCTCTTCCACGGTCCTGGACTGTTCATGGGTCAGTCAGATAGACTGAAAGCCACACAGATTTGCCCTGATTCCCTCTGCTTTAGGTTACATGCCCAATTAGAGCTTTCTTTCTTCTTCTTTACACATTGTATAGTGGGCTCCCAAGAACGTAATGAGGTTCAACGAGGCCAAGCACAAGGTGTTGCACACAGATCAGAGCAGTCCCAAATATGTGGACAGACTGGGATAAGAGTCCATTGAGAGCAGCCCTGTGGAGGAAGATTTCAGTGTCCTCTCAGAGGTAAAACTCAGCATGAGGCAGCAGTGTGCACTTGCAGTCTGAAAGCCAACAGTGTCCTGGCTGTGTCAAAGCAGGGGTGGCAGCAGGGAAGGAAGGGGACTGTTTCCCTGTGCTCTGCCCTCTTGAGGCCTCTGTGTCCAGTCTGCAGCCTTCAAAACAAGAAGGATGTGGAACTGTTGAAGTAGATCTAGAGAACCACAGAGATGATCAGAGGGTTGAAGCACCTCCCTTCTGAAGAAAGGTAGAGAGAGCTGGGCTTCTTCAGCTTAGACTGCAGCTTTCCAGTACGTGAGGAAAGCTCATAAACATGAGGAGAACTGGTTTTCTACATGGTCTAACAAAAATAGGACAAGAGGAAACAGCTTTCAACTAAAAGAGGAGAGATTTGTTAGATGTTGGGCAGAAATTCTTTACTCAAAGGTGATTGGGCATTGGCAAAGGCTGTTCAGAGGACTGTAGATGCCCCATCCTCGGAAGCATTCAGAGCCAAGTTGGATTCAGAGCCCGGGCAGCCTGATCTACTGGGTGACAACTCTGCCCATGGCAAGGGGGTTGTAACTGGATCTTTAACATTTCTTCTAACCTAGCACTCCATAATGCCTTCTCAGTCCAACCCTAGCCCTAGACATGGCCTTGCTGAAAGATTCCCCACGTATTTTTCATAACAATCTAGAAGAAAACATCAGTCTGAAGATTGCAGAACATTTAACTATAAACAATTGAAACAGTTATTCATGACACAAGGAAGCATGTATGTTAGTTACCAGTTCAATAAATACAGCTTTAATGTTAAGTATCAAACTAATCTTGAATAGTTTTAAATCACTTCAAAAATAGTGTGGTTTTTGTATCTTTTGTAGTTTCCGTGTAAATAAATGGAAACTACAAAAGATACAAAAACCACAATAACACTGTTTGACAGAACACATCAGTCACAAAACATTTCTCAACAGTCACCACTGTTATCTATGCATTTTTACCAGTGATTACTGCATAGAGCCAGCATGCCATGCTCGTAAATATCTGCATGGCCATCCAGAACACTGTTTGACTTTCATGTTATTGTCACCACTGCTGAAATGCACCACCCATCACCTCACATCCACAAGTTGGTCTCCAGAAACATTCAGCAAACTGTGATGAATGTCAGTGGGTGCTATTTTACTATATGAAGGAATTCAGTTTCACCCCTTTGCTTCACCTGCACTTCTGTATCAGGCACCATTTAGTCAGATTGCCTCTCTGCTGCCATCTATCACATGCCAACAAAATGTAACAGCATACCAGTGCAAAGGTTCAGCCTCTACTGCCATACCACCATCACCTGCCTCTGATGTCTTGGGCCAACATAATAAAATAGGAGGCATTACTTTTGGAATAGCCCTAATGTTTTAAAGAAGCTCTTATATACCATATACTTCCTATAGGAATTAAACTGTAATTACTCATTTCCTACAAATAGATGAAATAAAACATGGGAAAGATATAAAAGTATTAAATATCTACTATATCCTGAAATGTTTTTTCTCTTAAGTTTGAATTCTTTGTAGCCTCAAGTAATACAACATGAATTTCCCTTTTCACTGCTACTCAAAAAAAAAACAACCATGTAACACTGAAGTTCTAACAGTAACACCTGCTAAAAAATATTGGACTGGGATTGAGGGATCTCATACCACACGTTTGTGTGTATAAAACTTCTTTATCACAAATTATTTCTCTGAAACTCACCCATCTCTGTTAACTGTAGCATCACTTCAGTTATTTATGTGACCAAGAGCCTCTATACTCAGGGCAGAAAAAAGCAATGCAACTGACTCTTTGTCCACTACAACTCAGTTGAGTGCCATAGATTATTCTGTAATGTCACAGAGGAAAAAAAAAAAAAAAAAAAAATGAGGTTTGATTCCTTTTAATATCTCATTTTATTCAACTGCCTCAGGATTTGCAGCCAGAGACAGAGGTTGTTACAAAAGCGAATATTAACTGTAAGGAAAGCAACATTTCTAAGATCTTTGAAGTCAGACCGCCTATGAGTACTTCAAAAAAAAACACACACAAAAAACCCTACCAGTTGCAAAGCTTCCAACATTATAATATTTAAATATTTCAGGAGCAAAACCTACATACATAGGTACACACAGGATCAAGGAAGGATTATGGAATCTGTACTAGACTTGCATGAGTAAATATGCTTGAAATTATTAACGTATTTAGAAATAATACAGTTATTCATTTAATATTATTTTGGCCTCTGTAAGCATGCAAACAACTTCCTGCAATGTTTGGACCACAGGACGACCAAACCCAACATAAAAATAGTTCTCTCAAGTGTAGAGAGCTTGGCTTTCTCTGCTATCTGCTTCTAGAAGTCTCACATCTTCCTGCGTTTTCTATATTGCTTTATCTGTGCAATTCACTAAATATTAAATACTTTGAAATAACAATAAATCTGTAAGGTTTAGATTGTGATAAATAAATCCTCAGTAAATAAAAAGAATTTTCAGGTCCTGGTATTAAATTTAATAAATAATATGTAAAATCATGCCTTAGAGCTTCAAATACACAAAACAGGCTTTTGCTAGCTGCTGGTGAACCTGAATATACCACACCACACACAGTCAAAGGAATACAGTAGCTAAGTGGTTTATTCTAGAAACAGTCTTTACAGAAATGTTCTCCAGATATGAAGGAAAAGGAAGTTCAAGAGCAAGGTGGTAGGAAAGAGTATAAGTGACACAAGTCCCAAACTTGTATTTTAAATAAAGAAAACCTAGAAATTTTATATTGGGAAGTATAAAATGACAATGGATGAATGAGAAAAGATAGTGTTTTCTGCATAGCAGCATCACTACTGCTGTGACCCCATAATGCACACACAAAATACAGGAAAAGTCTCTCTCAGACTGTGACCATGGCAACCAAGTCTCCTGAACAGACAAGAGTGGAGTATTTCATCCTCCTGGGCAGCTTTGGACCACTAGTTGTGACTAGCTAGAGACTATTACAACATCTTATTCTTCTTCTGGACCAAGTAGTACAAATTGGGTCTCTGGGTGTTAGTGCTATCTGTGCAGTTCTCTGGATTCTGCTCTTACTGAATAATGCATTTCTGCTGGGAGGTCATGCATATTATGCTGCCGCAAGACGAGGCTTTCACTGGCATCACATGACCTGCCATATCATCAGGCTCCACTGCTTTCTGTTCGCTGTCACAGCTCAAGTATTGAAAAGACATTCTCAGTATTGCAGTGCTACTGTGACCTAGTGACTCAACTGAGTCTCATAGCATAAGTAATCTGTGTGCATTAAAAATGGTTTTAGAATTGATTTTATTCTAAAAGAACACGTAGTCAAGAATGAACCTTTTTCTTTAAATTTACTAGTGTCCAAAACAAAGAACATCTCACATTTCGGACCAAGTATCACCTGCCAAGTATTAGCTGTTTCTCAGTGTTTTATTTTCTGTCAAGATACTCCTTTCACAGAATCACAATGACACTTTCCATCCTTTATCATCTTAAAAAACTTCCAACCACATATTTTCTATTCTATCTAGTAGAATCAGAAAAACAAATATTGCATTCCTCACAAGATTTCTATTTATTTTAAACAAGTTTACTACTCTCCTTCAAGACCGTTCCAGCACTTCACTTGGGAGCGTGGGAAAAAATCTCAATTGCTAGTTCTATTGCTAATATCACATAGCATAAATCAGATGGAACA